GTCGAACGTATTATGTCAATCACATTGCAAGGACAACACAATGGGAAAGACCTATGCAGAGGTAACTCTTTTTTTTTTATTTATTTATTTGCCACCAAAATAAAAGTACGTGGTAAAGACTTAAACTACTTCATTGTACATTTTTAACTAATTTTGAAATAACTTTTATTCTAATGTACATATATGAAAACAATTTTTTTAAATAATTTTAATTTTTAGCACGGCTAGCAATAATGAAAACCAGGAACAAAGAGTTCTCGACTCGGCTGTAGAATTTGAACGTAGATTCCATTTCACTGAAGATACCGAAAATGATACCAGGAGAAATTCAACAGTCAGCATTAATAACCAGGTAAGTGCGTATTTTTAATAAATTGTACGATAGGTATAATTTATTTTATTAAATTAGGTAATTATTTTACTATTAGTATGTAAGATAATGACAATAGGAAGAAGGTAATGAATGCATGATTATAGAAGAATTAAAATTTGCATGATGATTTTCTTGGAAGAATGTAATTTCCACAGTTTGTTGAGCTGGTAAAATATTTATATTCTGTGCATATGGTATTATAGTTCTGTTACTAATAAACTTCGTTAAAATTGCCTTTAAACATGTTGCTATAAAATATGGCGCTTCCCTATTGTAAAATTTGTACATAGTTTTTTCCTCTTTCTGTGACCTGGTGAATGATATCCTATTTATTTTTCATTTGTTGAATCTTATATTAAAAACGTCAGGTCTGGTTTTGGGAGTTCTTATTAAAAAAAAAAATGAAATTCTAACTACACTAAATCTATTTTAATTGTGCTAATTCCATGGTTAATTTGCTCAACTGCAACCGCCCACTTCGGCATAAATTTATTGCATGTGCATGTTTTTTGCTGCTGCTGTTGCTGCGCTGGGCTGCTACTTCCTTGGCGCGCAGGATGTAGTGGAAACGTCACAAACACCACCCCCGCCACCGGAAACGGGTGAAGACGCGGTCGTAGTAGATGGCGTCATTGAAAATCGCGTTGACTCCGATCTGCATCAACATCGTCGTCACAGTCGCCGTTCGTCCGACGGGGCTACAACGACGCCCCCTCATCCGGAGGTTGCAATCGTCGTTCCCAACGGATCGACAACCTCTAGTGCCTCCGCGTCGGACAACGGCGTTAGTTCGTCTAGCGATGACGATGATTCAGATGCGAACGAAGAGTGTGAACAATGTCGTCGACAGCGTCGTAGACGTCGACGGGGGCGCGCACCACCCCCCATCGTAGAAGCCGTGAACGGTGATGATGACCAGTACGACGAGGTTTGTACTAACAATGTGTAGCGTGATGTCTCCCATATGTAGTCTCGTCTTTTTTTACGCTTCACCCATTTAAAATTAAATGACTGTCGTTGTCACATGAGATCGATAAGCAGCTAAAGGACGAAAATCGAAAGGTGGAACTAAAAAAATATGTAGAAATTTGATGAAAATGAAATATCGTTGGTGCGCAAGTATTGTGCATGTTTAATTTGTGAAACTAATACAATTTGAAATATTAAACTGTACTTTTGAGGGTAGAAAAAGTAGAATGTTGTTCAATTGAATTGCTTATGCTAAGCAGGAGTGCTTTTATTAAATTCTAATTTATCTTTTTTCTTGCATTAATAACATTTTTAGTTATCTGGCCTTTAATTCCCATATATATAATTGTGTATTACATGTGTTCATTCGTTTGTATATTTTATTTAAAACCAATTCTAATTAGCTCAAAATTATAACAAACAATTTTTTAAACCTTTCCAAAGGAGTTCCATGAAACTTTCGGAAGCGTTGAGAAAATTGTGTATACTTTTTTTTGTTTCCTGTTAATTATTTTATTATATGCCAAACTCTATAGCCAGTTGTTTGTTTGAAACGTTTCATTTCAGAACGAAGATACAACAGACACGTCTACAACTGCTTCAAGAAGGGACTCGACAACTTCAAATGCCAGTAGCGTGGCACAAAACAATTTACAGAATTTAAGCGAGGGTTTACCGTCAGGATGGACGATGCAGTTGGCACCCAATGGTCGGTGGTTCTTCATCGATCACAACGAACGTACCACCACGTGGGTCGATCCCCGAACCGGACGAGCGAGTCCTATGCCCAATCAGAATACCGCACCAGTTACCAACAGAAGACCGGACGACGACTTGGGACCACTTCCGGAAGGATGGGAAGAGCGCGTCCATAGTGATGGTCGGATCTTTTTTATAGATCACAGTAAGAAACGATGTCTTAATTTTTCTGTTTTTGAGAGGAACTTTAATTTGCTTTCAATCGCTGTTAATACATTAATAAGTTTTTTTAATGCCATTGTAAGGCCTCGTGAACAGGGCCGTAGCGATGAGAAATGAGATGAAAAATGTCATTAAAAAAAGTCATTTTTTGAAAACAGAAAACTGCTAAGGGGCCCCTCGACTGCGGGGGCCCCGGTGCGCCGCACCGCTTGAACCGGCCTCGCTACGGCCCTGNAATCGACCTCGCTACGGCCCTGCTCGTGAAACATTTTAAATTCTGCACTGTTAGCGGCAAGTACCACTAGATGGCGATATGTTTCCTGTAGTTAATACATTATTTATATTTTAATTTAATGTTATCCCTTAATATTCTCTAAATAGACACAAGAACTACACAGTGGGATGACCCACGATTATCTAATCCTAAGATTGCTGGTCCTGCAATACCTTACTCTAGAGACTATAAGAGGAAATATGAGTTTATGAAGATGCAATTAAAAAAACCGGTGAGTGCTTAAGTATTTATGATTATTTTAATAAACTTGTCAAGATTCGTTAATGCAAGTCAAGGTATAAAAAAAAACTGTGCATAGTAGAATCTCGATACTGCATCATCGCATAATGTGACCAACACATTGGCCTTAAAAATTTATACTTCGCGTTATTGTTGCGTAACTGCTATAAATCCCTGACATTTTTGGTATACCCAGTCGTATTAGCTGTAAAGATATTGTCTTATTTGTATATTAACTTTTGATATGCATATAGTTCGTTGTTAGGGGTTGTATTATCTGCATTCTACGTATCTGCCTAAGTAATTTAGCAGTTAAAAAATATGGTGTCGCAAAATCTAGAATTTATAAGATAATACAAAAAAAAGAACTAATGTCCATTGCTGTGAGAGATTCATATATCGGACCAAGTAAAATAAAAGCATTGAAAAATTACCAGTTTCTCCAGAATAGAAAAAATTGCCTGAGGATTTAAAAGTAGCTTTTTAAAAAAATTCTGAAGAAAGTTTATCTTTTCAACCACAGTTGTCTTTCATATGTTTTTATTTTGTTGATTATATGTTTGTAATATAAACAAATCGATAATGTGAACAACTGTTTTTTTACTGTTCACATTATCGAGTGTTTTTGCTGTGTTCGTTGTTAGGTGTCTGTTAAGAATAATTTACGTATTATTATTACAGACAAACGTTCCCAATAAATTCGAAATAAAGGTTAGAAGAAATAATATTCTGGAAGACTCCTACGTAGCAATAACGACGGTGCCTAGGGTGGATTTGTTAAAGACGAAATTATGGATAGAATTCGAGGCAGAAGTAGGTCTGGATTATGGAGGCCTAGCCCGAGAATGGTTTTACCTTTTATCGAAAGAAATGTTCAATCCGTACTATGGACTTTTCGAATATTCTGCAATGTAAAACAATATCTCTGTTTTTAGCGTTATTTTGTCAATAACAATTAAATTATTGTTTGTAGGGACAATTATACTCTACAAATAAATCCGTTTTCAGGGATGTGCAATGAAGAACACTTAAATTATTTCAAGTTTATTGGACGGGTGGCAGGTATGGCTGTGTATCATGGAAAACTATTAGATGGTGAGTTATGTAATAAATAAATAACATATATGTACTTCTAGTGCATTTCTTGCAAATATGCTATGAATGTGATTCATCTGAATTTATTTTGGTATTAATTAATTTTGTATTCTTTTAAAAAAATTTTTCATTAGATTGTTTTCAAATCATTTTGTAACAATTATATATTTTCTTTTTAGCATTTTTTATTAGACCGTTTTATAAGATGATGTTAAATAAACCGATTGATATCAAAGATATGGAATCGGTCGACAGTGAATATTACAAATCACTTTTATGGATAAAAGAAAATGACCCATCCGACCTAGGTTTGACCTTCGCAGTTGACGAAGACTCCTTCGGACAGACATCACAACACGAACTGAAAACCGATGGCGCAAACATTCCCGTAGATAATTCTAATAAGGACGAATACATTCAGTAAGACAGCTATTTATTTTGCATTCTGTTGTTTCCAAATACCCTCTATTGAGATGTGGCCATTCGACATTGATGAATTCTTCTTCGTCGAAACCTTTTTGGGTTAAATTGTTTATCCAACACGTCTCCGACCAATGTGGCTGACATCCTCAAGATTTATATCCCTAGCAGTAAATCCTGAGGTTGCCTGCTACAGTTGGCATTGAGACGATGGATGGGTAACACCAACCGAAGAAGCAGAACTCTCAAAACCGTGGCCATCAAGGTTACGCCTTAACCATTATTAACGAATTAATGATTGATAGGTGTGTGATTAAATGGAGGTTCGTCGAAAGGGTGCAGCCTCAGATGAACGCGTTCTTGGAAGGTTTCAGTGACTTATTGCCCCTCCACGCTATCATGATTTTTGACGAGCACGAACTCGAGCTACTCATGTGTGGCATTCAAAATGTGGACGTGAAAGACTGGAAACAAAACACTGTCTACAAGGGCGATTATCACGCAAATCACATTATAATCCAATGGTTCTGGAGGGTATGTTTTGAATAACTTTTAGACCTTCTAAGAGTATATTATTGATAAAAAATTGGAAAATAACTGGACTCATTTTAACAAAATAGCAATCTTTTTGGTGTTACTATAATGCTATCATATTAGTATAGGAACCATTAAAAAAAGTTTGTTTTACTTTTATTTTTCTTGAATACCGATTGGAAATTTGAAAGTTTCAGAGTTATAGTTTCTTAATAGTTTTTACAATCGATTCATTATGCTTATTATATTATGACATTTCCAAACCTTAGGACTATAATATTTTATTTTTTACTCAGGTGGTTTTGTCATTTTCGAACGAGATGCGCTCGAGGCTGTTGCAATTCGTCACAGGAACTTCCCGGGTACCAATGAACGGATTTAAAGAACTGTACGGTAGTAATGGCCCCCAGCTGTTTACCATTGAGAAGTGGGGCACTCCAGATAATTACCCCAGATCTCACACATGGTAAGTTTTTTAAATATTCCATTAGATAGGGAATTACGACAATTAGCTATTTTTTTTTTTGTCTTCTATAATGCAATTCAATTGCAGCTTCAATCGGTTAGATTTACCCCCTTATGATAGTTACCAGCAGCTACGAGACAAATTAATAAAAGCTATTGAAGGTTCGCAAGGTTTTGCAGGAGTCGATTAAGTAAACTTAACAGAAACAACTAATAAAAAATTGAAAAGAAAAGAAATAATAATTATACTTAGTAAAAACTCGTTCGCGTTTTCCTTGTATTTTTTTGCAATTTGACAATTTTACTGTAATTTATTCTGTCCACAACCTGTATTTATGAAGTATATTTGCCTTTAAAAAGAGTTAAGTGTGACTTAAGAAAACATTATACATATTATATCATGAAAATTGTAAATATCCGTTATTTTAAGTCTAAATAGCTAGATTTTATATTTAGAGAAATACATTTTACATTCACAAAAACATTATTTGTTGTATTGTTACATTATTATTATTATTATTAAATTGCCTACTGTTGAATGTTTTGTTATTTTCAACAATTTTAATTTCAAGTTAATTTCGCATTCTGCCGTTTATCAGAAATTACAAATCGTAAACTCAAAAAAAAAATTATTCATCTTAAACCCATTATAAGTTCTTGGGTAATAACTATTAAATATGGATCTCGATTTCGATCTACTTAATCTCGACCAAATCGATGCTCAGTTAATATTGTAGTACATGGTTTCTAATCTCGCAAGCACATTAGCCCTAATACAAAGCAAAGGCTTCCATTTCATATACGTATGAAAAAATAAAACGAAGTAATGTGTAATAAAATTTAACATTTTAAAAAATATTTACTTTTATTCAGTTAGTGTAAAAATACATTAAACTATCATTAAACTATATTTACATGTGGATAAAAAAACTTAACAACATATGTAAATTGCACAAAAAAGAAATAATTTATAAGCTCAATGTACAGCTTTTAGTAAAAAATGAAAATGGAAAGTGTATTTACTTTTCATACATTAAACAGTGTAACTGCAAAGCCCTCTGAAACAGGGAAGTTTCAAAAATAAAAGAAACAAAAAATCCTAATCCAACAGGATTATTTTGTGTAATTAACCAATGTTGAAGAATTCTAATAAGAATAAGAAAATTAAACCGCTTACACTTAGAACATTCCGAAAACGAATGTATTATTTATATCTTATCAGACAAAGGAACCTATCATCTATCATCACAAAAAAAAT